CAAAAGAGCAAGCAATTCTGAAAGGCTGCAGAAACACTCACCCTTTAGGGGTCCCAGTATCCAGAAATGTTACATGCAATGGAAACACAAAAGTTCAACATTTTGATATTTTAAAAGATTTCCCCCTTTTAAATCCTCCTTATAAATGCCTGGTTGTAGCAACGTGAAAGTGCTTTCTTGTGAAAACATGCAGCAGGGTTCCCTTCCCTTTTCATGTGTACTAGCAGCTGCAAAACATTCCAAATGAGCTAAAAGGTCATTATGGAGACTATTAATAAGATGACATTCAGTGCTGGCCTCATCAACCAACGGAAAGCCTTGCCCCAGAAAATGAGAAAAGAGGAGGCAACAGTGCTTACAAAATACTCTAAATTCTGTGTTGCTTTCCAAATCCCAAATAACTCTTCATAGTTAGCTATTCCTCGTGCTATTAGCCCACCCCACTCAAGTTCAGTTTCCCCTGTGTTCAAGGGCTGCATTTGTACTTATTTCTCAAGTCTCCAGAGCTTTGAGATGTGCAAACAGTAAAGAATCACATTAATCCTGCTTTGATCTTAGAAAGGAGATCATAGCAGAAATCGGGTCACCACAGAGATAGGCGCTGCTGGGAAAATGAGCTTTATTTTTTTCTTTTTCTTTTTCCTTTAAGATATCTCCCTTGGCTTCAGGACATTCATTGTTAGTTAGCAAACTGGAGAATTGTCAATATGAACTATGAATAACTTGTGATTTAAAAGTGAGACAATTGAGCTTCTTAGAGCTTTTTTTTTTTTTTTTGTCTTATAAATCTAGATACTGGAGTTAATGTACTCACCATGTCTATTTGGTTATTTACATAAACACATTGGACCATATTCCAAATACATGCCCCAAACACAACCTCCACAGGAACTTAATTGCCTGAAAAAAAAAAAAAAAAGTTGTATTTCCTCTGCTGTCTTTTACCCTGGAGTCCTGTAAGCATAGAATAATGGTAGTTAATCTGCTTAGATAATTTAAGACTTAAAGATTAGAAGGCCTATATTGACAATTTCAAAATTCAAGTCTGAGTGCTTTGGATAAGCAAAGCTTAGGAGATGACAGATGTGATAAAAGAACTGCCAAAAACTAGACTTTATTAAAACTAAAAAGTGTGATGTTTTTGTGGCTCTGAAAGAAATGATTGTTATAATGCTCACTCAATCCAAATGTGTCCCTAAACAAACAACTACAGGGGTATTTTATTTTATGTTACCTGATATTTATACACATAATACAGCATTTCTCTCTGCTTGCATATACACATGCAGATAAATTTTATAGTGCTTTTCAGCCCACCTCACACATATATAAATAGAGTTAATCAGTGTAGTTAATATAGCTGAGCTACATACTCAACACAAGTGATGTGTGCATAATCATAAGCATTTGTGCTAAACACACATCCTTCCCCTCATTTCCCAATTTGCTGTGGTAGCATCAACATATCACAGGAGGCTACTTACAAAGCTGTAGCTGTCATCCAGTTTTCTTCAGAATGTGTAGATTGGGAAGAACACATGAAGATATCTGAATTTGTTAAAAATGCTATTTTCTTTCAAATTATTCCTATTGAAGTTGATTTTCATTTAACCTCAATGAGCCAGTCTTGATGACAGTCCAAACCACACTGACACCAAGGCTACCCCAATGCTTTTACATGTAGCATAAAGTACATTAAACTGCTTTGCACCAAATATGTCCTTTTGAAGTGATTTTAGACCTGGTTTGCTAGGAGAACTAAAGTGGGAAAAGAGAATTTAGGGAGAAAGAGGGCAAGGAGAGAAAGTAGGTGAAAGAGAACCATATGAATACAAAGTCGGTGAAAGGGAAAGTTTTGTGGCCATAGGTTATGTCCTGTGAATTGTGGAGGATTTTTTCATATTGTCTGCCTTCATTTTTTTTTTTTTTTTTAAATCTGTTCTTCTAAATCTGCTACCATTAAACTTGGGTTCTAGAGAATATGTAGTGGAAGCTACCAAAGTATCCCTTTAGGAGATGTTGAGAACATCTTATTGGATACAGATGCATTAAGCATTGCATTAAATGTCCCAAGAATGCTTATTTTGGTGACATTTAGCTGAAAAATGTACTGTGCTAAAATGGGCTGATTTTTGTTTTGTCTTGTGACTTAATCTCATTCTACAGATTACTTTATAAGCTGACTTTACCCATATTTTGAAGTCAAAGATATTTACTTTCCACAGGAGCAACAAATGTTGGCTACTTTTTGGTCCTTAAAGATGGCAGTAAACATTTCATCTTAATTATATTTAGAGTTTTGTTAAAAATTGTAATCTTTTCAGTCCACTCTCTTCCTTTTATCAGTGTCCCAAGATCCTGGCATGTCATATGTGTGTAAGGAGAGAGAATAGACCTCCTTGTCTTCTTAATTAAAGTTTATACAGCTTGTAGAAAGTAGTAATTTTCTAGAAAATTAGATCATTTTAGGTCACCATAGTTCCACTCTTCTTTCTTAAACATGTTTCTAAGCAAATCTTGCCCCTTAAAAGCCATCAATTAAAAGGCAGATTGTGGGAGAAATATGCTGAATTTACAGTATTTGGATTTAGAAATCTGACCCTGCCTCCATGAGAGTATGTATAAATGATAAATCCTACCCTGTATCCATGGTGTGACAACCCATGTTGGTTTTTGTATGGCATATCAGAGTGACACATGATACTTCCCATCCCTGTTCATTAGAAACAGCATCATTTTTACCTCTCTCCTCATTATGGGGGTTGTGATTCACATGCACAATACATCCTTCTTAAGTCAGGATTTCTTTTTTAAACAAGATAGAAACCAAATTTAAGAAGGACATAATCAAGGTATTGAACCAAAGGATTTAAAAAATAACCAAAAAAAAGGAGTCATTTTCACATTTAAAAAATGTTATGCTTACTTTTAGGAGATTCACCTAAAATTTTTTGTGGCTTCTCATTGCCTATAGAGGAAAGACAAGCACCACTGTGACGTAACTGGGGAGGCAGTCAGACTTTAGTGGTGGTGGGGGGCTTTGGAGTCAGACTGCTGAAAAATCTTCAGTAAGTTATTTTACTTTTCCGAACCTCAGTTTCTTTCAGTACAATTGGAATAATAATAGAACTGGTTTAAATGATGATGGTAGAATTAAGTGAGACAAATGCCTGTAAAATGCTTAGCAAGATGTTTTGTGAAAAGTAAATGTTCAAAGAATACAAGTTAATGCTTAACATTAGCATAAATGTAATGCTTAACAAGGCCTTTCAGTTTCTACTTCTGTATATGCTAACCCCTTACACTGGAAAGCCCTCTCGGTTCATTGGCCACCTAGCTGACTTCTCACCTCTCTACCTCAGCTCAAGTGACATCTCCTCTGGGGAAATCTCCAGAGCTTGAAATTAGGTGCCTGTTTTTATGCCTCTGGAGTATCCACTGCTTAATTCTTTTACAGCATTTTTCAAGTTTTATTGTAATTGTTTTTTTAATCTGTCTCCTTATTGAAACTATAAGTTGTAGCAAGCACAATATAACATTTATATCTCTCAGAGCTCACAACTGAGCCTGATAGATAGTAAATACTCAATATATGTACAGTGAAAGAATATTCAATTTTTTTTGTTTTGTTTACATTTATAAATAAGTTGTAATTGGATGTATTCTTTTGTCTTTAGTTTTCTCTAGTTAGTATTTCTCAAGGAAATACTAAACTTTGGGAGCTTAAGGTGGGAGAATTCCCTGAAGCCAGGAGTTTTGAGTCCAGCCTGGACAACAAAGCAAGACTCCTGTCTCTACAAATAGATAAACAAATAAATAAGAATTAGGCATAGAAGTGTGCATCTGTAGTCCTAGCTACTTGAGAGGATCACTTGAACCCAGAGGTTTGAGACTGCAGCGTACTCCCGCCTGGGTAACAAGGCAAGATCCCCACCTCAAAAAAGAAAAAGAAAAAAAGGAGTGCTAAAAGGAACCTATTATTTCCCTGAGTAATTTTATGAAGAGGTTTGATTTGGGGCTCTATAATGAATTCTTGACATTTTCAGGACAAACTATTTTTGGTGAGTTCTTATTTTAATTGAAGAACTAATAGACATATTGGGTTACCTGTCCAATCCTTAGACATTCGGTTGTACTATTCAGTATATGGCTTATTCATATTCATTGAGGGTGATTTGGATTATCTACTTGAGTGCTAATAGGTTTCAACTACCACAATGCCCTAGCCAAGTGGGCTTCCAATTAATCCAATTATGTCAAGACATATTATAGTTAACAGGGTTTGGAGGGATCACAAACATTTCAAAAAACTATTTAGATCTATTTCACTGGCATCTTGGGCACATACAACTGTTGGACAGAAATACAAGGAAACCTCACTGTCTTAGGCTAATTTGAGGGAAGACCAGTATAAACTATGATATGTCAGAATTATAAAATGTTGTAATATATTATATAGAACATACTTACATAAGCCAGGGATTAATATTCTGTGGCCAAGACTCATAACTGGATCTGCTTTAATAAGCAGGACAGAATTCGTGTTTATTTCATTAATTGTTAGAAGCAGTTGTTACTGGAGTGTTTGAAAGCAGTCTATTTCCTTAAGAAGATTAATCACCCCCTGCAAAGCTAATTTAATTAGAGCTGTAAACTCTCTTCACCAAAGGAAAAGTTAAAGCCAATTCCCCAACTTGGAGTTATCAAATGTTTCAAAGGCACAAGGTGTGAATTAACTAGGTTTTCCTGGAATAACTTAATAAATATATGAGTTAAGTGATAATAATGATGATTCCTGCTGTTCTGCTCATGTAAACTGTAATTAATGTTTATAACGTTTCTCCTAGCCCCTCTTCAAAATTAAATTAAGCGCTACAAAATTATAAAAGAAAAAAAGAAATTTTATTCCGTTGTGAGAACATTAGAATTTCTATTAATGATGAAGGGATATTCAGGTTTTCCAACTAAAGAATAAAGTAAATATTTTGATTTGGTTGCAGATCCAGAGAATGAACCTCATGGAAAGCTGCAAAAAGAACTTGGGGAGGGTCAGGCAGTCTGTTTTCTTGTACCCAGCCAAGGCACTCTGAAGCCATTATAGAGCCTGTACTGCTTGACATCCAAGGCAGTGCTAATCCTGCACTCACATGTTTTCATGAAGATTTTAGTTGCCTGCTTAGACAAAGGAGATCAAAGAAAGGTAAGGAGTGGAGGGACAGAAATTGTATTTTGCACTAGGCAAATACAATTTGGGATCTGGAATACTAAGAATAGGAAACAGTAAATTACTAGTATGGGCTATGGTAAAGTTTGCCATGTGGATGTCTTTTTCTGCCTCTGCATTTCTTTTGTCGCAATTCCCATTTATTTATGCCCCATGTATTTCCATGAAGGATTTGAAATGGCTTTAATAACTGACACACAAGACAAAACAAATATTTTCCTCAGCCTACTCTCACTTTAGATTCAAGCTATGGAGCTCACAGCAGGCTCCACAAGAAATTTCTGCCAATGGAACTAATCATTAACTGGTTTTATTATTAACACAAAGAGCATGCATAAAAAACTCTTGCTTTCTTTTTCCTATATAGTTAATGTTGGTCCAGAAAGACAACCTCTTTTCCTCTTTCCAAACATCAAAATTAGTTTTTGTCGCATAAACGTGGCCTAACTAGTCCGTCTATCAACCATAGTTAAAAGATATTAAAACAAGATACAACTTCTCTTGGAAGGCTATTCCTTGTGGTTGCTGAAAGGATAGTGTGAAAACTTTATTGTTTCAGATTGGACCTCCCAAGCTTGACTGTGAATTTTTATGCCTGAGCGTGTAAAAAACTCCAAGAAAAACACAGCCCAAACCACCACATTTTGCTTGCTTTCAGGTTCAAACCCTATAAAACCACCACATTTTGTATGGTTTCCACTCCAAACCATAAGTTGGCATGAGGTCTCACTAGACGTTCTGCTCAGGTCTAATTGAAATGTTTACCAACCTTGACAACATTTTTTTGTGAACTTGTCACTTATTTGGAATGCAGGTGAAACAAGCTGAGTTCTCAGCAATAGTTGCCTCATTTTGATTCCTTTACTCTATCCCCACCACCCAACTATAGACATGGGGCAATTTTGTTGTCCTCAGTCAGTTATTGTTACTCCTTCTGTGACATTCTGCTGATGGTTGCCTTGGACCTTCTAACTCCCTTTTTCCCCTCCAAACTTATGTCTTCTGTGTATCATCCTTCCAGATTATGTACTTTTAAGCTAATTAGATAAATCAGCTTTGCTAAGGTGTTAACAAGATTTCAAAATTCTTAGGGAATGCACAGGGCACTAGATTGTGAGTTTGTTGTGGCAGGCATAGCCTCTTGCTGACAATTTAGAATTGCTAGATAAAACATGGGATTTTTAATTGCTAAATCTGACAATCCCATGACCACTATATCTTCATCTTCTAGTAACTCCCACACAGTATGTTCTCAATAAATACTGATTGAAAATGACTACATGAAAGTAATGGAATATATATCTATATATATATGAATCCTTTCATTCTCTCTAAATCCTATCACATAGGGAGCTGAGTCACCTCTTAGGCCTGCTTTTATGATTGCAGGCTTCTGAGTTTGTTTTTCATGGAGATTCGAGTAGGCGCGTAATCTTTGACTTTTCTTCCTTCCGTTGTTTTCTTCTGGTCATTGTTCTAGAGTAGCATCTGTCTTCCTTGGAAGAGCCTGTAGAATAGAAAGGAGTGAGGGAGGGATCACCTGCTATTGTTGCATAGTTCAATAAGGGAAGAGCAATCCTGAAAACTGGGTTGGGAGACTTTGAGAGAATGGGAAAGCTAAGCAATCGCATCCTACTGTCATTCTCTCCCCACCAGAAGTGGGAGTTCCCTTAATAAGTACAAACAGGAGACTCTTGGGAGTCCACAGGGGCTGAGAGGGGAAGTTATAATCTCAGATTGGGCTGACTAGAATCTTTATAAATAGTCCTAATACCCCCAAAGTCATCATCGTGAGGATCCTTAAGGCCTCTGTGGAAGTGGAAAAACTCTGCAGCATGTTTATTTTATAATTATGTTAAATTATCAATTACATTTATCATTGCAACTGCTGTAAAATCACAAGGGTGTTCTTATTTTTATAACTAGGGGCCATTGGGCATAAATGCAGTGTTGCTTTGTCTTTATTTGTTGCATCTATTGTTTTTTTCAATAAGTTCCCGGAACTTTTCCGATACTTTCTTATACCTTTCTTTTGGTGAAGTCAGTAGCTTTTGGAAAAATGAGACTTGGAAAACAAAGAACTTGGTGGAGAAAGTGCTTATGCTTTAGGGAACTCTTAAGCACATGCTATGTTAGTATGTTGTATGTTTATTTAGAGCTGTAACTAAAGTTCATGGTTGAAATATTTTCATGTATTGGTTGCCCCGGAAAGGCAAGGGAAATACTTTAACCTTGAGACAAACCAGGTCTGAGCTGGACTGAGCCCAGGACTCTCCTACACACTAACTCTCTCAAAGTCTGTTTTGTAAGTGGATTATCTCTGCCACTTGTTTATCTGATTTCTAGAATCTACTTCTGGCCTCAGGCACATTGACAAATAGAGGAAAACTATTTGCCATCTTGCTACTGAATTCTGTTCCTGTAACAAAACAAGGTCAAAGTGCTTTGAAGGCCCATCCAGGAGGAGTACTTTCAAAAGTGTAGACGGTTGGTTTTCTACATATGATGGTTAAACATAATGTGGGTTTTATAGTCAGCTTTATCTGGAATGTAATTCTGGATCTGTCCTTTCTTAGCTGGAATTGAGTTCTTTTATCATTCTAGGCTCTAGTTTTCTAGTTTGTAAAGGGGAGGTAATTTACTGTATCTACTGCATAGGGTTGTTGTTAGAATTAAATGACCTATTTGTGGTGAGTTTAGCCCATATATAGTGGTCAACAAACGGCAGTCATTATTGTTTAAAGTCTAGAACGGAAGACTTAATTTTTAAACAGAATCTCAGAATGTCCCTGTCCACAAGTACACCTGTGTGGCCTGGATCTCACTTGTGGGCCATGATGGAAAGTGTGGCAGTAATGTCCCTGTACCTGGCTGGCCACATTCCTGGTCCCTCCCTTGAATGTCCAGCCTCTGGTTTAACTGGAGTTGGAAGACAGGGTTAGAACACTCTTGCACCCTCTGAGATAGCCAGGGTTGGGGCCTGGTGGAAGGTGGGTGAGGCTTCCCTGGTGCCAACACAAATTGCCTTTGACCTTCCCAGCTGCTCCTTCTACCCAACTTTCTCAGGGTTGTCTGGGGGCAAATGTGGTCCCAGTCCTGCAGAGGTGATGGCTTGGCCCACTGCCTGGGGCTCTGCTGGGCTCCTGGCCCTGCCCTCAAACTTCTAGCTCTCTTCTGGCTCAACCAGAAGTTCAGGTGTGAGGTGGCCTAGTGTTGTGTGTTGGCCTGGGAGAAGGGTGGAGAACAACACTTAAGCAATTTATCTACAGGCACCCTGGGGAAATTTGTGTGTGTGTGAGTGGAATTTTACTGCATGCTGTTTGTCCCTTTTACCTACTTTGAACTTTCTTTCTTTCTTTTTTTTTTTTTTTTTTTTTTGAGACAGTCTCGCTCTTTTGCTGAGGCTGCAGTGCAGTGGTGTGAGCTCAGCTCACTACAACCTCTGCCTCCTGGGTTCAAGTGATTCTCCTGCCTCAGCCTCCCAAGTAGCTGGGATTACAGGCGTACACCACCATGCCTGGCGAAATTTTGAGTAGAGACAGGGTTTCACCATGTTGACAAGGCTGGTCTCGAACGCCTGACCTCAAGTGATCCACTCACCTTGGCCTCCCAAAGTGCTGGGATTACAAGCGTGGGCCACAGCACCCAGCCTTACTCTGAACTTTCAATGAGTTCAATTCCACTAAAAGCATAAAAGCCACTGCAGATGAGTTGTGGAAAGAAGAGATTAGAGGAAGAAGGAAGCACTTGAGATGGGTTCCTCCCTTCAACATTTTACCATCTTCTTCCTTTTAGTCTTTCTAGAATGTCCATCTGTTTCTGGCCATTATAGAAAGAGAAGCTGAGTTTTAGAGTTAGGAGCTTTGAAATTCTTATTTCTTCATCTTTGCCCACCCTTCTAACCCTGTGTTCTGTTTCTTCTGCTATTCTTTTTTCTTAGAGCATAGGAAAGGGGAGCTTTTAAATGAAACTTAAAGTATGGAAAAAAAGAACTTCAGAGGAAAATGAAACAAGGGAGATGAGGCTAGTAAAGTAAGGAAAATGGAGAAGAGGAGGAGGAGGAAGGGTTAGCTCCTAAACTCCAAGTTAAGAGGAAACTGTCTCAAATTGACATGGAACAGGCAAGGCCTCTTGAGTTACTTAAACTTCAGAAAAGGATCCACCGAAATTTGATAGAAATGGAAAAGGAAATGCTTGGGGTAGAGAACCTCCAAACATTAGTAATGATTTTGAACAACTCAAAGTATTGAGGCAATCTGCAGGCTACATGCCTGTAGATCACCCATGCAGAAAGATCAAAAGGGTTAGAATTATCTGTTGATATTAGTAATATTTCTTGACATCTAGCTAGAATTGGTAATTTTAAGTTTTAGATTCATTTCTTTGGTGATAGCTATGATATATTTTATAGATAAGAATTATATCCATAGGCTTGCTATCATAGGCTCCATTTTAATTAGCATTAATTTAGTCTCCTGTTTTTTTTAAGCACATTTGAAACATTCATTTATCCTAGAAAAGTCATTGCCAAATAAAAAGATGATTCCTGTATGTATAAAAGCTATACATTAAGGAGGAGTGTCCCAAAATATGAAAAAAGTCAATTAACCTAAATAGTAACTGTTACAGGAACAAATATTTTCCTTTATGGGATTATATCATTTATATGAATTTGTATAATAAATTTTCTAAATGCTTTTGTGATGACGAAAGACTCTGCTTTGAAAGAATTTCAGGTGTTTCATGTCCCCAGCAGAGGGGCAGCCACCCATAGCTGGGAGGTGGCCATAGACATCTCTGTGCCTCCAGTGCTAGCCCAGTGCTGGGCACATAGAGGCTCCAGTGTTTCTCAAGCCAAACTGAACTGTGAAGGAAAATAGTGAGGAGGAAATCATGAGGAAGGGTTATTTATTTGTTTGTTTGTTTTAACATCCTTATTACCTTGGTGGCAATCTGGTTTAGAGACCTACTCTGAT